ATAGTTTTCAGTCATTCTCCCCCTGATTTCTCACCCTTTATTATGTCACAAGAAGCTAACATACCACTTTCCCTTTCCCCTTCAGTACGTTCTTTTCAATAGAGTCAAAGAGGTCACATCACAGCCTACCACTGACTTCCCACCTGTCCTCGTCAATGCAAAGACAGTCACCCAGCACTCGTGCTGTGTTGTCCTTCATGAGGGCTGTGTCTGTTGCACTGATGCTGTTGGAGTCCTTGACCCTTGGCTTTATGTGATCTCAAGTATGACACTACACACTAATTTAACTGAAAGAACTGGGGATAGAGAAAAGAAACCAAAGAAACTCTTATTATTCAGGAACTCCTTAAGTTTATCAGTCATCAAGTCCAGGAATAAAAGACCTATCATCCTTTAAAAAACAGCAAAAAGTAGACACCGATGGGAAATAAATCATCAGTAAGTAGCAGGTTCTAATCTCTCACTTTCTGCTTTTGTCTATTTAGATGAATTGTAACCAAGAACATTGAGAGATCTTTGTTTTTAAGGAAAGAGGAATGAAATAAAGACAGAGGAAAAAGTACTCTTTTAATTTAATTTAGAGATAAGTTATGACATCGAATCATGAAAGTGAAGCCTGATTTTGACCATTTTTTTGAGTTGTCAGAGTGAGGAAGAATTTCCTAGATGCCATAAAAATTCCAGATTTTCATGTTAAAAGAAAAGAAACGCTGACTATATTCTATAATACACTGAGGGTTGACCTCAGTTCTGTGAAATCTGATTCCTGATGAAATAGTAGGCTCCTGTCCTTGCCACTGGCTTGCTCTGGGGCTCAGGCTGCATAATAACCAGGCTCCTCCGGATGGTGGTGCAAGGTGGGCATATGAAATAAAGTATTTAACACATCCATAATACCTTTCATGTTCATAGCTCAAACAGCTTTATAAAATCCAATTAATTCATCAGGCTTCATAAACTCTGAAGGACAGACATAATTACAGCTCTACATGTGGCTAACCAGTGGCAGCAAGCCCTCAGATAGGGCGCTTAACAGAATCCAGATTTAACTGTCCAGTTTTTGAGCTTTCATGCACCTACAGAAAGGCAGGGATGTGATAAAGAATCTCTGAGTCACTAGGAAATTCTAAGAATTGTGAGTTGGGTTAAGAATGCATTACAGAATTGATGTGCACAGAAGAGGATGATCTCACTGCCAACACCCTAAAGAATCCTCCTTTCTCTACTTGCGTGAAGAGGGTTTAGATCTAATTAGGAGAAGGCTCCCTCATTTGCATGCTTTGGCTGAAAGTGCAATATTGCTTGAGAGAAGCCTTCGTGTGGCATGCCAAATGAAATCTGAATTCATAGCAAGCAGAAATAATTTAATTTAAATATCTATGTGTAATATATCTTATTTATTTTGAAATACCAAATAAACCCTAACCCAGTGTTCACAGCTTATAACTCATTTCCCAGATGAAGTGAGGCACTTTTTCAAGCTGATGCTGAGGCAAAAATGTCCTGCTTGGAATAACTTGCTTACTGGGGAAACCCGGTTTGCTAGTCAGGAAAGAGTATAAATATCTTTGTGATTAAAACAGATGGTTTTCCAAAAGAAAACTGCACCGTCAAAAGCATTATGAGCAGAGGCACAAATGATAGGAATCCTAAGAGTTTGTTCAAGGACACGGGTTTTCCCTCAGTGAATATAATCAATGAAAGGCAATGAGATTCTATGGAGATCTAGAGTGTTAGCCACACACAGTAAAACTCATTGTCTGGGTGACCCTGTACAAATAATCCCTCTTCCTTGATCCTCGGGTTCCTTATATGGACATGGGAATAATAATACCTGTTTCTCGTAGATTGTTGAAATTACTAAATAGAAAAAAGAAGTCTACAAAGAACCTATTAGGTTTCCAATAAATCACAGAATATTTTAAAATAATTTCTTACACATCCCCCATAAATCTCTGGCCCAGTGAACACTTTTAAAACCTGGAAAGAACGCTTCCTATGTGGGGAAAATACTGGACATACCCTATTCCCAGACAGACAGAGCTTTGCAATAAATGAGCACTATGTATGAGGACAGAAAAAGGAAACAGGTAATATGGGAAGCAGAGTAAAGGACCACTGATCCCCACCCATTCCAATCCCTACTTCTGGGCAGTAGTTAGAAGTCACTCTCCTCATTTTTGCTAGTAGCTTTTCTTCAATGGGTGGAAGCTCCAGGAAGCAATTTTGATCTCAATTTAAATACTGCCAAAATCATTATTCATTTCTGATAAAAGGACACGTGTTAGTAAATAGCGGATCTTAGGACTAGAGGTAGGATTGTCCTACTATTTAGGTATGTTAAGTATATACACATGAATTTGAATGCAGTATAACTGACAATATGTAAACTTATTAAATGAGCTATGCTTTCCTATGCCTTGCCTTATTAAATGCTCAACATAAATCTATGGATTTGATATTTGAAACCTCCATTTGATAGATTAGGCCAATAGTGGTTAAGTGATTGGACCAAATATTGGTGGATACACAGTAGTATCACAGGTAGTACATAGCACCAATCGGCCATTTAATTTTCATGACAACTGTATATACAACTGATACCATTCTAGAGTGTAGATTAAGTGGGACATATGTCAAGACAACACAAGAAAGCCCATTCAATCCCAGAATTCTACTATTCTGGTTTCTAGAATTATGATATTTTCTCAAATAGACTTTATCTGACTTTAAAACTCTGATATCTGAAATACTACTATTAATGTTTCTTCCTAGTTTTACTGATGCCAAGGCAATGACAGAATATCAGCTAAAATCTTTTTCTAGGCTGAATTCGTAGATGCTTACTATATGCCAGGCTAAGTCCTTAACATAAACGTGTCATTTTGCATGCTCACAAGAACCCTATAGGATTAGAACTGTTATTGTTATCTTGCCCATGAAGAAACTGAGGCACAGAGAATGGTGTAGCTTTCTAAAGGACACACTATTATCAAGGGAAGGGCTGAGAAACCAAACCAGATGTATCTAGCTCCAGAATGTGCCATCTTAATGACTGCTATATGTGGTATTGTCTGTAGTGCTCTGACCTGTTCCAACCAAGATAGATTCTAGGCTTATAATAATGATATAAGTCTCACCAAGGACATATATATGTGCATAAATACGATTGGCCAGGAAAGATTAACAAACTCAAAATCAGTTTTCACCCATACATTTTATCTGAGGCTAATACTACATTTTAAATTAACTATATATTAACTAGGGATGCCTGGGTGGCTCAGTCAGTTAAGTGTCTGACTCTCGGTTTTGGCTCAGGTCATGATCTCATGGGTCTTGGGGTTGAGCCCCGCATGGACAGTGTCAGTGCACTGACAGGGCGGAGCCTGCTTGACATTCTTTCTCCCTCTCTCTCTACCGCTCCCCCACTTGCACTGTGTCTGTCTCTCTCAAAATAAATAAACTTTTCTTAAATTAAAAAAAATATTAACTAAGGGTTTCATCTTTTGCGTTGTTTAGAATTATCAGTATATACCATATTAATAATTAACACATAAAAATTTAAAACAGTGCCATTCTGAAACATTTTAAAAATATTTTGGTCCTGGAGAGGAAACACTTGTTTTCTAAACATATTTTTAAGAAGCTCATTGGCTCATAGGAAAAAACAAAATTAGAATGACAATTCAGTCTTCTCATCCCAAACTCAAAGATATGAAGCACCAGATCATTTGTTGTAAAAATAACTTAATGGAGCACCTGAGTGGCTGAGTCCTTTAAGTCTCTAACTTTTGCTCATGTCATGATCTCACTGTCTGTGAGTTAGAGACCCCCGTCCGGCTCTGTGCTGGCAGCTAAGAGCCTGGAGCCTGCTTCAGATTGTATGCCTTCCTCTCTCTCTGCCCCTCCCCCACTCATGCTCTGTTTCTCTCTGTCTCAAAAATGAATAAACATTAAAAAAAAATTAAAAATGTCAGAACACAGCATACTTTTATGTACAGCATTTGATATTATGTGCAATTTAGTGTTATATTTTGGATAATTATGAGAGCTAAAGAGAAAAAGAACATGGAGAAAGGCATTCAGATCTGAGGAGGAAAGACTGACGTAGACCCATAAACTAGGGGGACACCAAAAGAAACATCAGTGTGCAATGCACGCAAAATGCATGCACCCACCCCCCATGGAGCCACATCCTTAGGAAAGAGACACAGAAAGATGATACTTAGTGGGTATACAGTAAATGATTCATTAGTGCAGAAGCAAGCCTAGGACATACATTTTCATTATTTTCTGTCCTCATTTTACAGCTTTCCACTCTTTCAAAGTATGTGCTTTCAAAATTCCCAGAGCAATGCACTGACATTTAGCAGCAGAGCAGGGGAACTTAAAGAGATGTTCGCTTTCACTCAAAATGAACACAGTCATGTCACTATTATAAACAATCAAGTGAATGTACAAAACTATCATAAATGATCAGTTAGAGCCACTTATTTAAATAAGTAATTAGTCTGCAAATTGGATACTAGCCAGAATTCCTAACTCATTAACTTTACAACTGTTCATTTATTTTTTAATTTTGTTTATTTCTGAGAGAAAGAGAGACAGCATGTGAGCAGGAGAGAGGCAGAGAGAGAGGGAGACACAGAACCCCAAGCAGGGTCCAGGCTCTGAGCTGCCAGCACAGAACCTGATGCAAGGCTGGAACCCACGAACTGCACTGTGGGGTCATGACCTGAGCCGAAGTTGGACGCCTAACCGTCAGAGCCATCCAGGTGCCCCACAACTGTCCAATATTTCACCATGGAAAATGTAACGGATGCCCTCTGATCTCATGAACCTGTACTTTCAAGTTTCAATTGATATCATAAAGACCCCAAAACTCTATCTCAGTGTATTTCAATATCCATCCCAGAGTTTCTGCCCTTCTACCCAAATCAGTCTAACTGAACCATATTTACAAGAAATGGTGTCCACCAGACCCCAAAGCTCCTCGGTACCTGTTGTCTGTCCAGGCGCATTCTCTTGGCGGCATTTCTGCTCTCACTCTCACAAGCTGAAGCCAAGATACTCTCTGCAACTGCTGAAGTAAGATGGGAAGGAATAGGTCGAGACTACAAAAAAAAAAGAGAGAAAGAGAGAGAGAAACATGAAAAATTATTAACAGACCCATGCAATTCTCAGAAGAGCTCACAGGATGTGCAGGAGTATCCATTTATTTCAACTGAATTTATTTCGATAAAAAGAGGAAATGGAAAATCCAAAGATGAAAAATGAAAGCTAGTTAGAGGTTAAAGCTATAGTTGTTACACAGATCCATCACTCATTCCCAGAGCTCCACATTCATAAGTATTTAGTCTGGGCCATTAAGCTGGAACTTGAACAGGCGGTGACAAAATGCTGACTGGGTTTTGCAAATAAAAGAAGTGCCGTAATTCTTTCAAACACATGACAATGCACAACAAAACAAAATCAAGTGACAAAGCTGAAACATAGCTGGAAAAACGGACAGACACTCAGACTATGTCAAACAATCTTAATATGAAATATTATGAATATTTACAGTTGACGTTGTGGCACAGTTGGTGTGATTAAAATCCTCTAAAAATAGCTTAAGTACAAACTAAAATGTCAATCCTAGAACAATTTTGGTATAATAAAAGTTTGATGTTTTCATCTGAGCTGTATGAGTGCCTACAAGTTTTATTTACAAAATATGAGTTAATATTAACTTAATAGATACATGTTGGAAATCCATCTTCTGTGTAGCCCACGTAGAAATTAATTAACCCCCCAACTAAGCTCATAATTAACTTCAAATTGTTTGCAACTCTCCATATCATTTGTGATAATCAGAAGTTTTCCATTTTCTTTTCCCATAATTACATGAAAAACCATCTAACTGAAAGATGAAGTGCTTAATGATATTGAACAGTTTTTTTAATGAAGATAAGCAAACGATAGATAAAAAATAACATGACAATTTAGCTGGAGAAGTTAGCAAAATATGCGATTACAAAATAAAAATGTCCTTTGGAAAGCTAGGCTATATAGTGACATGCTACCTTAGAGTTTTCAAAGCCTCAATCTAAAATATATATGGATACCATTTATTAGAAGCCTCTGACCTAATAGATACCTTTTAATTATTTTTAAATGAATATGAACATGTCTTTATGGCACTTGATTCATTTTGCTAAGCCTAGCATGTAAAATGTGTTTTTAGCAAATTGAACCATAGAGTTTATATCTCAATATTATAGAACAGCTAAATTCAGACCATCAGTGTTTTCACATATATTCATCAGTGGAATTTGTATCATGTATGAAGAGACCAGGCTCTGACCTTGCCTGAACCAGGAAACAATTTCTGTAGCTGTCTCAGCCAACTGCCTGTTTCCACCTCCAAAGTCACCTCTGTAGACAAGACGTAAGAATGGTACAGGGTACTGTCTCCATTGCTAATCTGTGAGATACCTAAAACGATGCCTAGACAGCTCTGATAATAAAGCGTTAGGATATCTGGAAATGCTATTTTTTGCAAAAGAAAGAAAAGAGAGAGACCCCTGAGGTGGCAGTTCAAAGCAGCAGATGCATTTTGAGAGAGAAATCAGAAAGCCAGAGGGTGTGGGGGAAACAGAGAGGAGGGTCATATCAGATACATTAAAAAAGGTTTTGATAGTCATAAAGATGTAAATACACATCAAAAGTCATATTGCTTCTTCATTTCATTCTGCATTTCCCTGAGTTTGGATAAGATAATCTAGCTCAGAACTAAAAACATATTAAGCCACAAAATCAGTGTCTCATGAAAGGAACACAATTTTGGCCACGGCTTGGCTCAAAATTATAGTTTAAACCACACAGGAATTAGGTACATGATGTTGTTTTTCCTCAATTGAATTATGTGTGGAGGCAAAGATATTATAGAAAACAATGGGAATAGGAACATTCCATTATGGAAAAGGAAAAATGATTTGATTGTAGCTAACATTATTCAAATAGAAGTGACAGTTCACATCATTATAAACTATATAATCAGACCTTCCATCTGGTTCTAGGGACTGAAGTAACACAATCTAAATAAAACATCAGCAGCCTCTCTTTTATTGATATAATTATTGATAGCCACATGGAATTCAGAGAGATATATTTCTGCTTTTCATTATCTTTATTTCTATTAGGTTTCTCCATTCAAAATTAGGAATATATAAAGTTGTGGAACTTTATTAAGCTGATTCAACTTTAGCAATAAATACATACTTCTTAAACACATAAAAGTTAGTTGAACAGAGAAAACAAAAGGTAAAATATTCCTGTAATTAAAATTAGCTTTTCTTTTCAAATTCTTTTTAATTTTTAAAAACAAAATGGGAAATAATTTTCACTGGAACAGTAAAAATTATTAGGCATGATAATTTATATAATTTCCTTTTCAGAGAACAAAACAGAGAAAGCTGGGTCTTTTCCAGATATAGGTAATTGGTCTTCTCAGAAACTAGAATAATGTCCTGGCTGAGTGAGAGGCTAGATCATTTTTAAGGTCATTGGATAGCCTAATATTTCAAGATTTTGGAAAAAAATCAACTTCAAGTTAAAGCAATAGTGTATTCTTTTCTATTAAGTGGAAAAAATAAGTAGAAGCAAAGGTATATGATAGACATTGCCAGTAGGTAAATGATAAAATTTCAAAAATAGAGTTGTTCTGAGTCTATTGTAGAATTATAACTTGGTAACTGTAAAGAGCCAAAGAAATACTTCAGTACAAGTTTCATCTCTAAGGTTTGAAGAAAATAAACCCAGATGAATGATTTGCTGCTAAAGGACAAGTTGACTAGAAATAGAAACCAAGGTTCATATCTCCTAATTCTCAATCCTTCCACTCTCTGAATTCTGTTGTATACATAGTACTTTTACATGATTTACCATTAATATATTGTAGAAAAAAATCCTTACGCACACTCTGTTGTGTTCAAGTAAACAATAAGCAGAGCAAAGACAACCTTACATGTATTTATTACAGTCATGTTCACTGGAAAGAAACGCGGAATGAATAAAATCTGTATTACAGTTTAATATACATGTGTTTTTCAAAGAATTTATTCTATCTTAAGTGCATAATAAAATATCTACCTCTAAGTAGAAACCAATACCATTCTAATTTAACTTTAAGACAAATATTAATAATACTTAACTCCTATTGACTGGTTGGGATGTACAGGCATTGATTAATACAAAGCTAAGATTCAGTACCTAATTTAATTTTTCAAGCAACTCTTGAGAAAAATACTTATAATATGCCTATTTTAGAGGAAAGGAATCGAAGCTCTGAGAAATTATGTAACTTGCCCAAAATCATACAGTTATATATGTGGAAATACCTGGATTCATATCTAGGTCTGATGATAAATTGGGAATAATAGTTAATTCCTAGTAAAAAAATATTCTCAATTTACAACTAACATCTCAGTAGCTTAAACAAAGCTAGAGATCTTAAATACTACACACTCCTACAGAGGAATCCATTTACAGCTAACTCTAGTTCACATTTAAGCAAAGAGTGTATTAGGATCTCGATAAATTCTCTTAAAGAGACTGAAATTCCCCTAGCATGTTTTCCTATTAATTCTTTAAAACCTTTCTTCATTAATAGCACAAAAATAAATTTAACTTATCTCAGTTCTGTCACATGTTCTAAATGGAAGCAATATAAATTCACAAGATTTTCATGTTGGAGAAACCAGAAGTGCCAAGAAATCACTGTATATGAAACATAAGAAAAGCTTAGTTTTGTGCCCAAAATGAGAATGAGGAGCCAGGCAGAGTTCTTTCTTTCCTGTGAGGCAATCTGTTAAAAATCCCCTTCGTTCTAATATTGATAAGCCAATAATGAATGCCAATGCTCCTCACTACCCTTGGAGCTCCGTTATGCCGCACCTGGTTAGAAGATACTAAAAATGAAAGTCTTCTGCTTATTGTTGCTCCTTAATTTGGCTTTGATCCACTTCACAACTCAGAAGTACTTATACCAAGAGAGAAAGAAGGAAATTAGTCATTTTGCTCCTTATCAAAACAATTTTATCATAGAGGAATTTAAAACTATTATCTACTATGATTTCTGAGAACCATCTTCACCAGAACTCTCCTGTCCTTCACCACGTTTGACTGTAGAGAGCTTATTCGAATGCCGCCGCATTTGTGTCTTCCTCGAAGGTAATTAGCAGAACATGTTAAGGACCGTAGTCATGGATTGCACCAGGGACAAGTGCTGAAAACTCCCTCTTACATCAGTAAAAGTGGTCATAAAACACAAAAGCCTCCATGTGACAACCTAAGAATATTTTTGACAAAACAAACAAACAAAAAAAACTAATGTATAGAATTCAGTAGATAATTTATGAAAAGCAACACTTCTCCTTCTGGTTAAATATAGCTCAGTAAATATACTGTTTGGTATCTATCTTAGAAGATTTTAAAATGATGATTCAAAAATGTATATAATCATACACTCTACATGATCTGTACCTGGAATGAGATTTGTTACCTATTTCTTACGCTAGAGAGGAGATCATGCTAACCACCCTCACTAATTATCTCTTCATAACTAACTGTCATGAGTTGATCTTTCCCTAACACTGTTCTTACTGCAATAAGTATCTATGACCAAATCAGTGGTTGTTTCATTAAACAGATGGTTGAACTGTAGCATGGAACTTTTGGAGTTTAAAAAGTCAGATTTTAATTAGGGACTTAAGATGTGATTGTTGTTGGCACAACATAAATGTGCCTTTCCTTACAGATACATGTAAAATTTAATACCACACCAAGAAACTATTCCACTTTTCTCAAAACTATTAACTAAACAATGTTAGAGTTCTCAGAATTTCTGCTGTCCATTTAGGATGATCCAAGTTTTTTTAATTATAAAAAACTAAAAATAAATCATGACTGGGGGCGACTGGGTGGTTCAGTAGGTTAAGCATCTGACTCTTGATTTTGGCTTGGGTCGTGATCTCACAGTTCATGAGTTTGAGCCCCATGTCCGGCTCTGTGTTGATAGTCTGGAGCCTGCTCGAGATTCTCTCTCTCCGTCTCTTTCCCTCCCCCGTGCCTG